AAGTGAAATACTATGCTTAGTCATGACAGGGTTACGGTAGAAAAGAAAAAGAAGGTATTAACTCTGAGTGAGTATGCAATAAAAGGACCATTATCAAAAATTTAAATATCTAAATATTTTATACAAATACTAAATACCTATGATTTAAGATCTGAACAAGCTGACAGATGATACCAATAATACTAAAGGAGTCAACAAAATGTAACACAACATCTAATGCTTCTTACAATTATTACAAATTTTCCTTATCAAAATTTAAAGTAAAATAAATAAATTTTTCTAAACTACTACAGTTTCCATTCAGTACTAAGAGTTATTTACCATTAAGATCATCTGGATTCAAGCCTGGCTCCTCAGACTCCGGAGAGACAGGGGCCTGGGGAGGGATATTGAGAGTGGCTACGGTGTCTCTTAGAATTTCAAAGCCTTCCTCTTCAGTTGTGGCAAAGTAGTCGGTCACTCCACTCACACTACATTTTCAACCAGTGCATGAAAATGGAAGAAACACAATATCATCAAGGAGAATAACTCAAGAGAAATAGATAAAAATACAGTTGACATAACACAAATGAGTCCTCCGTACCTGCAGTGCACCTGAGCACCTCCTAAATCCTCTGCCGATATCTCCTCTCCAGTAGCTGCCTTGACGAGGGGTGGTCCACCAAGGAAAATGGTGCCTATCCTGGTGACAATGGCAGCATCCTCACACATGGAGGGTTGGTATGCCCCTGGAATATATGTCTTTTTTTTTTTTTACAAACTCAGTGTTCCTGTGCTTAACAAATTGCACTAATTTTGATAATAATAATGATAGAAAAAAATATTAACAATAATAATCATACCAATAATAATAATAATAATAATAATAATAATAATAATTATAACATTACTAATAATAATAATAATAATAATAATAACAATAATAATAATAATAATGATAATAATAATTATAATATCAATAATGATGATAATAATAATAATTCCAGTAATAATAATAATATTAACAGTAAATTAAGTTAATATGGAGTCAGCTAAAAGATGAAAGAGGTGAGGGAGAATGAGAAGAAAGAAGAAGGGAGGGAGAATGAGATGAGAGAGGAGAGGAAGAAAGAGAATGAGAGCCAGGCTTAAGAGGAACAAATTTAATTTCTGCTTTACAACTTCTATAAGTAGCTTAAAATCTGAAGATTTTTACTGCTGCATTGTTTAGAAAACTACCTACTTATTCAGATAGATTCAATATCTCTGAAGTATAGCTCACAATCATAGACTGTTTCCTTGGAGAAACACATGAAGAGAAAAAGAAGAAGAAAAAAAAAAAAATCTAACAAATACTTCAACAGTTTATTACCTCCAGCTGTGCAAGATCCACACACCAATGCCAGCTGTGGAATGCCTGCTGCTGACATTACAGGTGGATTGTAGAAGCCACGGCCACCATGGTTCTTGTCCGCAAACAGATCAGACTGATGGGTTGTTAAAATAATTTGTTAACTACAATGGAATTATTTAATAATAATTTTGGATTATGATATTCTCTGCTGACATGAGGTTCTTGAGATACAAAAAATCTAAGGTAGTTACTGAAGTTGTGTGATCACTGCTTATCTTTATTGCAAGTCAAAATTCAAGTGATGGCAAGGCAAACGGCACAACAGCTAAAAGAATAGAAGAATCAGTTATTGAATCAGGATAATGAATGTTAAATGCCTATACCTTGAACCAACTTTAGCAGAAGGAAAACAAAAAAATAGTAGAAAAAGAAGGCATGGAATAGCAAACATAGACCAAGATTGGTGAGGGAGTGAGAAGAGCCAAACTGTGGAGGGGGGGCTCTTCTGCCCACTGACTGATTTGTCATTTGGTAGTGCTGATGATTTTGAAAGTTTTGCTACTGCATTTGCTTGAAGAAAAAGAAGTTTAGTACTACTAGCTCTTTGAATTTCAGTTGAAAATTTGTTTGCTGTGCCTGATGAGTTGGTTAATGAGTGGAAAGAGGTATTACAAAATCAGACATTCTGTCACAAATGCAGAAGTGTCACCCTTAGTTTTTGAAATTTACATTCTTTAAATTTCAAATGCTGTCTCTGTTTACTTCTCTACTGCCTTATTCTATTCAGTTAACTATCTGATCAGTCTTTTAATATTAGACTACTCAAACAATACTCCATTATATTATTTTCCTTTTAAGTGATTATATACAAAATGCTACTACAACGTTAAGAAAAAATAATAAAAGTGCTTATAAAGTCCATACTTTACAACATAGACCAATCTTTTTCCCTAGTTGCAACTCAAAGAGAAAACACAATAGAGAAATTAAATGCCTACATAAGCTGCCATATCTTTTGCAATTTTTGATTACCTGAAGTGGAAGAAATCCACCTGCTGAATCTACAAGATAAATGCAAGGCAGACGGTTCATGGCACCAATATTTTGGGTACGTAGGTTTTTGGTGACGGTGATTGGGTAGAAGGTTCCACTTTTGACAGTGCCATCACTAGCTCCTACAACACAGTATTTCCCATGCACTTTGCCAATACCTTAGTAAAATGGGAAAGAAAAAGAACAAAAATAAAAATACTGTTTTCTAATAAAAACAATTGCATGCAAAGCTAGATAGCAGTTAGACTTCTTCAAAAGTCTCTTCTCTTTAGAGTAAATAACAAACTAGAACATTTATGAATTAATAAACAATTATTTCCCACTATATGAACATAGTCTTCTGAAATTTCAGCAAACACTACATATCTACATTTGGATTAAATTGTACTGTATTATCTGTTTGCCTATAATATAGATTAAAATCTTCAAAATTCCAAGAGAGACTCATAAGCTTCAAACACTTAAATCATTACCATGACGATAAAGAATATTATACAATGGAACACAAATAAAGAGGAAAACTCAATATATAAATAAGAAAAATCTGAACAAGTAAAATACAAATTTAGATACATTCTTTGCAATTTACTGATCTGGGTCTCTGTGTTTCTTTCTGTTTTGGTCCCTATGTCTGTTGTCAGCTCTGTTTATCTAGCACTTTCTGTCCCTTTCCCTCCGAATACTACTTTTAAAGGTACTTACCACAGATGACTCCAGCGGCTGGTACATCTCCATACTCCATACCAAGCCCAGCCAAAAGCGAGAGTTCTAAAAAGTCTGCATCATCATCTAACAGAAGTTTTAACTTGTCTCTGACTAGCATTTTACGATTTCTCTTGACATGAAGAGCAATTCCCTTTTCTCCACCTGTGAACAACATGGAAGAGGAAATTAAAGATAAATGAAGACAAGATTACTAAATACTCAAATCTTGATCCATGTTGCACACACTATATAATTTGAATATGTCTTAAACAACAGCAATACTAGTAACTAAAGTGCTTATAAAGAATCAACATTTCAATGAGGTTGGAAATTCCATTATGTGAAATTCACATTTTTTCTTATGTATCCCACATGTACCAGAATGTACCATGTGTGTCTTTAACAAGTGGAACTTCCAGCTACTAGAAGTATGTGAAAAGTATGATTTAAATGCATGTGACATATAGGCATTTTCTCACCTCCACCAAGAGCTACTTTGTTTAGTTGCTCTAACTGTGCCAGCTGCTCTTCAGCTTTGCGCCTGCTTTCAGCTAGTTGTGGGCATGAAAGGTCTAGGGGATCTTGGATTACTGGAAAAGGGCGAGCAACTGCTGACATCCACCTCACCAGAGAAGGAAAGGATTGCCATGATAACTGCTTTGTTATCAGGGCTGAAGATAAACTCTGAAAAAGAATAAATATCATATAATATATGTGTTTCCTAATATTCCCTCTTTCCAGGTCCATTTTCATGTGCCTAATAAAATCTTATCTTGACAAAACTGTAAAATTTAAAAACAAAGCTTTATATGCCTTGTTAAACACAGTGGTGTATATTTGGGATCCTGATATCTTATGAATCTGGGTACAATATCACTGCAAAATGGAATACAAATAATTATTTGGGTATTTTCTAGAACCAGTCTACATCTTAATATCTGTCATTATAAGTATAAATAGAGTGGGCATAGCTCAGTGGTAGAGCGCTGGCTTTGCAATCGCATGGTCCTGGGTCCGCGACTGGCTGCCCCTCTCAGTCAACTCAGCTGTGAATGAGCACTGTTATGCTGACGTCAGCATACTGGGGTCAAAGCCAGGGCGGAAAGAAACTGGCCACCCTACTGCATCATTCCGCGGCTTAATAAGCATGTTTCTCTACAAAACATGTCCCTTACTTCCAGATGGATATGGGACCAACTTTGATAGTATCAATGGATTCCTTATAAGGTCTAGTGCACATTTTAGTGCTTTCAGTTGGTACTAGGCAGCAATGGTGATGACAAAAGACCCATTTGGTGGGGAGGGAGTTAAGTATCATTAGAAAATTGCAGGATGTGATTCTGAGGTATTGGGAAAGCCAAGTAATTGCTGGGGCCTGCGTGCCTTCAGTGCTTGGATGTCTGCAATACTGGGTTTGTTTTGGTTTCTTATTTCATAAACCCTCAAGAATATCTAAAAGAAAACCATCTATATATTACGATATTCAATTTCCAACTGCTGTTTTGTGTCAAAATTAATGAGTGAATTTATATGAGCACCATTTACTTTTCTGAAGAAAAGAAATAACACACGCATAAATTTGTGAAATAACGTCACTGGAAATTATATAATAGTATATACTACGTCCAGACACAACTGAAGATGGCCAAGAAATAAAACAGTAACGTGACCTAGCAGGTCAGTGACTTTTTGACTTTCAAATAATGCCCACCCTATTACTTGCTAGTGACCAAAATAACCATAACCTAATTACCTTCGATATCATGTTCATCCAACCAAATATGAATTTCTACGTGTCGTTTCGTATATGATGAACAAAAAGAACGGAAAGTGAGAGCTGTCTGTCTTCTCCACTATCAGCTGATGATTGTAAACACCGGGAGGAAGATAGGTCTTAGAAAACGGGAAGTGTAGGGGGGACTGCGATCTCTTCCCTTTATCTGTTTATCCGTCTATATGTATATCTCTGTGTCTATCTGAATATGAAATGATCACTCCCGTCCTCTTCCCCACCTATCTCTCTCTCTCTCTNAAAAAAACGAAAAGAAACAAAAAATTAATAAAAAAACAAAAAAAAAAATTTCAACAAAAAAGAAAAAAAAACAAAAGAAAAAAAAAAGAAGACTATGTACTGAAATTGTGAATAATAGTGACTGGATGTTTACTTTAAATAACAAAAGGGTGTAATTTGACATTCTGATTAGTAATTGATTGCATATTCTCTTTGTTTTTATTTCAGTAAATACTACAAACACAAAGGTATGCTGCAATTGGATGTAGGGGCTTTTGCAAGTGCCCTAGAATTTGCATGTGATGTTAAAAGTGAAATTGTGGGCAAGCCTTCACAACAGTTTTTTGGTGCTGCTCTCGATGATATTGGTGTTGCAGCAGAAGAGGTTGGTTTTTATTAATGTATTCAGAAGTTTGTGCAGTACCTTTTAACAAGAATTAGCTTCTCTAATTTTCATCCGTGTTGATCAAATACAGAAATCAGAGAATTTTGGAAACTGTTAATCTATGTAGAGATACTCAAGTGAAGGCAATAACAAAACACGTACGAATTGTCTATTGGTATTCATCATTTTTTTCCCTTAAAATAAGAATCAAAATGACAGTGACAAAAACTCTTGTATAGATAATAAATTGTTAAGTGATATATAGGCAGGGCAATTTAGTGGTAAGAGATTTAAATTGAAAAGCTTTCATGCATTTATCACAGGTGGTGATGGTGGGAGATGACATTGTCTCAGACGTTGGAGGAGCGCAGAAGTGTGGCATGCGGGGAGTCCTAGTGAGAACGGGGAAGTACACATCTCCTTGGGAAAACCATCCATATGTGACACCAGACTTCATCGCAGATAATCTTGCTGAAGCTGTTGACAAGATTATAGAGGCTCATAAGAAATAAGTTAGTTGCAAGAGGATTATTGAGGCTCATAAGATATAGGCCAGTTGTAAGAGCATTTCAGTTCCTCTCATTTATTTGTGGCATTTTGATATTTTTGGAAGAGATCATGGTTGTAATACATCATGAACTGATTTGTTATTCGTGATTGTTGAAGCAATAAAAATATATATATTTTATAAATGGAATTTTCCTTAAGGATTTTATCCATTATGAAACACACACACACACACACACACACACACACACACACGCACACACGCACACACACACGCACACACGCACACACGCACACACGCACACACACACACACACACACACACACACACACACACACACACACACACACACACACACACACACACACACACACACACACATACACACACACACACACACACACAACACACACAGTACACACACACATACACACACACACACACACACACACACACACACACACACACACACACACACACACACACACACACACACACACACACACACACACACACACACACACACACACACACACACACACACACACACACACACACACACACACACACAACAACTGCTACAATTACTGCTACCACACCACTACCACACTACTACTACTACTTATTCTACTCTACTACTAACTGTTATTACTATTACTATTATTCTACTACTACTACTTCTACTTTTACTGCTAATATTGCTACTTCTACTACTACCTCTGCTACTACTACTATTCTACTACTACTACTACTAATTTTGTTTCTACTATTGCTACTACTACTACTACTTTTACTACCACTACTATTACTTCTACTACTACTACTACTAGTGTTACAAATACTACTACTACTACTTCTACTTCTACTTTACTGTTACTTCTACTTCTACTGTACTTCTTCTTCTACTACTACTACTACTACTACTACTACTACTACTACTACTACTACTACTACTACTACTACTACTACTACTACTACTACTACTACTACTACTACTACTTACTACTACCATTACCTTACTATGCTGCTACTACTTCTAGTCTACTACTACCACAACTACTACTGTACTACTACTTCTATTACTACTACATCTAATCTATTACTACTACCTCTACTCTACTTCTACTACTACTACTACTAATGATAATAATAATGATAATAATGTTAATATTAGAGTAGTAATAATATGATATAATAGTAATGATATGTTAATAGCAAAACGAATAACAAATATAGTTGATAATAATAACATATTTTTTCAAAACTAATTTCTAACAGGCAAAGCCCTCTTCCGTAAACAAGCAATCATAACTCATAAACCATAGAGATAAAAAGAAAAAAAAACGAAAAGAAAAAAAAACAAGACGAACTCTAAGTAAAAAAAAACAAAAAAACTACGAATGTTAATCAAATCAGAGTCTAAACGTCCCCTTATTGGGCTTGGTCTTCGAATCTGCGTCGCTCCATTTACGATGAGACATGGTAATCATATCAACCCCACCCCACCCCCACCCCACCCTTCCTTCCCCGTTGTTCCTCCTTCCTCTCTCCTTCCCCTCGATTCCTCCGTCCGTCCCCCTCCTCCTCCTCTCGTCCTATCCTCCTCTCTTATCCTCCCTCCATTCCTCCTCTCCGTCCCCCTCCTATCCGTCCCCCCTATTCCTCCCTCCTTCCCCTCCTATTCTCCCTCCCCCTCCTATTCTCCTCCTCTCCGTTCCCCTTCCTATTCCTCCTCTCCGCCCCCCTCCTATTCCTCCTCTCCGTCCCCCTCCTATTCCTCCTCTCCTTCCCCCTCCTATTCCTCCTCTCCTCCCCTCCTATTCCTCCTCTCCGATCCCCCTCCTATTCCCTTCCTCTCTCCGCCCCCTCCTATTCTTCTCTCCGTCCCCCTCCTATTCGCTCCTCTCCGTCCCCCTCCTATTCCTCCCTTCGTCCCCTCCTATTCCTCCTCTCCGTCCCTCCTATTCTCTTTCCGCCCCTCCTATTCCTCTCTCCGTCCCCCTCCTATTCCTCTCTCCTTCCCCCTCCTATTCTCCTCTCCGCCCCCTCTATTCTCCTCCGTCCCCCCCTCCCTATTCCTCTCTCCGGGTCCCCCTCCTATTCCTCCTCTCCGGGTCCCTCCTATTCCTCCCTCTCCGGGTCCCCTCCTAATTCCTCCTCTTCCGGGTCCGGCCTCCTATTCCTCCTCTCCGGTCCCCCTCCTATTCCTCCTCTCCGTCTCCCCTCTCTATTCCTCCTCTCGCGTCCCTCCTCCTATTCCTCTCTTCTTCCCCCTCCTATTCCTCCTCTCCGTCCCCTCCTATTCCTCTCTCCGTCCCCTCCTAATTCCTCCTCTCCTCCCTCCTAATTCCTCTCTCCAGTCCCCCCTCGTAATTCCTCCTCTTCGCGTCCCCCTCGTAAATTCTCCTCTCCTTCCCCCTCCTAAAAATTCCTCCTCCTCCGTCCCCTCTAATTCCTCCTCCTCCGTACCCCTCCTATTCCTCCTCTCTCGTCCCCTCGTATTCCTCCTCTCCTTCCCCCTCTATTTTTCCTCCTCTCCATTCCCTCTATTCCCTCCTCTCCGTCCCACTCCTTATTCCTCCTCTCCTTCCCCTCCTCTTCTCTCTCGTTCCAGGCTCTCTATTCCTCCTCTCCGGTGCTCCCCTCCTATTCCTCCTCTCCTTCCCCTCCAATCCTCCTCTTCCAATTCCAGCTCCTAATTCCTGCCTCTCCGTTCCCCTCGGCTATTCCTCCTTCTACGTCCCCCTCCTATTCTCCTCTTCTCCGCCCTCCTATTCCTCCCTCTCCGTCCCCCCTCGTATTCGCTCCTCATGCTCCCTTAACCCCTCACTATTCCTCCTCTCCGTTCCCCCTCCTCCTTCCTCTCCTCCCGTACTCCTATCTCTCGTCCCCTCCTCCTCATTCCTTCTCTCCGTCCCCCTCCTATTCCTCCTCTCCGTCCCCTCCTATTTCCTCCTCTCCGCCCCCCTCCTATTCCTCTCTCCGTCCCCCTCCCATCTCCTCCTCTCCTTCCCCTCTTCGTCCCTCCTATTCCTCCTCCTCCGTCCCCCTCTATTCCTCCTCTCCGCCCCCTCCTATTCCCCTCCTCTCCTCCCCCTCCTATTCCTCCTCTCCTTCCCCCTCTATTCCCCTCTCCCCCCCTCCTATTCCTCCTCTCCATCCCCCCCCTATTCCTCCTCTCCTCCCCCTCCTATTCCCCTTCCTCTCCTTCCCCCTCCTATTCTCCTCTCCTTCCCCCTCCTATTCTCCTCTCCGTTCCCTCCTCCTCTCCGTTCCCTCCTATTCCTCCTCTCCTGTTCACCCCTCTATTCCTCCTCTCCTTCCCCCTCTATTCCTCCTCTCTCTTCCCCTCCTATCTCCTCTCTCTCTCTCTCCTTCCCCCTCCTATTCCTCCTCTCCTTCCCCCCTCCTATTTCCTCCTCTCCTTCCCCCTCCTATTTCTCCTCTCTTCCCCTCTCTCCTCTCGCCCCCTCCCATTCCTCCTTCCTCCTCGATTCTCTCCTCCCCTCCTATTCCTCCTCTCCTATTCCTATTCCTCCTCTCCGTCCCCTCCTATCCTCCTCTCCGTCCCCCTCTATCCTGTTCTCCGTCCCCTCCATTCCCTCTCCTCTCCTTCCGCCCTCCTATTCCTCCTCTCTTCCCCCTCCTATTCCTCCTCTCCGTCCCCTCCTTTCTCTCTCCGTCCCTTTTTCTCCTCTCCTCCCGGCTAGTATTCCTCCCCGTTCTCCTGCCTCCCTCCTATCCTCCTCTCCTTCCCGCTCCTATTCCTCCTCTCCCGTCCCCCCCTATTCCCTCTCCTTCCCCCTCCTATTCCTCTCTCCTTCCCCCTCCTATTCCTGCTCCGTCCCCCCTTCTCCCTTGTCCTCCTCCTATTCCTCCTCTCCGTCCCCTCCTATTCCTCCTTCTCCTTCCCCCTCCATTCCTCCTCCTCTCCGTTCCCCTCCTATTCTCCTCTCCGTTCCCCTCCTATTTCTCCTCTCCTCCCCCTCCCTATTCTCCCTCCGTCCCCCATTCCTATTCCTCTCTCATCCGTTCCCCTCCTATTTTTTCCTCCTCTCCTTCCCCCTCCTATTTTCGCTTCCTCCTCTCCTTCCTCTCCTTCCCTCCTATTCCTATTTCCTCTCCTCTCCCCCTCCTATTTTCTCCTCTCCGTCCCCCTCCCGTATTCCTCCTCTCCTCCCCCTCCTATTTCTCCTCTCCTTCCCCCTCCTATTCCTCCTCTCCTTCCCCCCTCCTATCTCCTCTCCTTCCCCCTCCTTCCGCCTTCTCCCCCGTTCCCCTCCTATTTTCTCCTCTCCTTCCCCTCTATTCTCCTCTCCGTCCTCTCTATTCCCCCTCTTCTCTCCCCCTCCTATTCTCCTCTCCGTCCCCTCCTATTTCCTCCTCTCCGTCCCCCTCCTATTCCTCTCTCTCCCCTCCTATTCCTCCTTCCGTCCCCCGCTATTCCTCTCCTTCCCCTCCTATTCCTCCTCTCTTCCCCCTCCTATTCCTCCTCTTCTTCCCCTCTCATTTCTCCTCTCCTTCCCCCTCCTCCTATTCTCCTCTTCTTCCCCTCGTATTCTCCCTCCCTTCCCCGCTTCCCTCCCTCCTTCCCCCTCCTATTCATCCTCTTCTCCCCTTCCTATTTCTCCTCTCCGTCCCCCTCTATTTCTCCTCTCCGTCCCCTCCTATTCCTTCCTTCTTCCCTCCTATTCCTCCTCTCCGTTCCCTCCTTCCTCTCTCCCTTCCTATTCCTCTCTCCTTCCCCCTCCTATTCCCTCCTCTCCGTCCCCCTTCCATTACTCCTCTCTTTCCCCCTCCCTATTGCCTCCTCTCCTTCCCCCTCCTATGCCTTCTCCTTCCTCCTCCTCCTTCCCCCCTCCTATTCCTCCTCTCCTTCCCCCTCCTATTCCTCCTCTCCGTTCCCCCTCCATATTCCTCCTCTCCTTCCCCTCCTATTCCTCCTCTCCTTCCCCTCCTATTCCTCCTCTCTTCCCCCCCTATTTCTCCTCTCCTTCCCCCTCCATTCCTCCTCCCCTTTCCCCTCCTATTCCTCCTCCTTCCCCCTCCTATTTCCTCTTCCCCTCGCTTCCTTCCTCCCCCTCTATTCCTCCTCTCCGTCCCTCCTATTCCTCCTCTCCCCCTCCTATTTCTCCTCTCCTTCCCCTCTTTTCCTATTCCTCCTCTCTTCCCCTCCTATTCCTC